TTCCTGCCTTCCCAGGCATGCCCGTCGCTCCAGGGTCTCCAGGAGGTCCAAGGGGACCAACGGGGCCAGTCTTGCCAGGCAAGCCAGGACTACCTGGTTCCCCTTTCATGCCCTTGGGTCCTTGTGTTCCCTGCGTGGCTGGGATGCCTGTGGGGCAGTGGGAAGTGACAGGGAGTCAGTGTCAATGGCAGGATGTGGGGAGAGGCTGCTCCAGCCTCTTCCCTAGGTAGGAGAGGGTTGTTGCCTCTCTCCAGCCTCTTTTCCTCCTGCTCTGTCCTCAGAGGATGCTCTGCAATGGCCTGCAGACCAGCCATGGAGGACTCCCTGCTCCCCCTTCAACAGCTCATGGGGTTGCCCTCCTTGGTCACTCACCTGGCTCTCCCTTGGCTCCCTTCAGCCCATCCCGGCCATCCTTGCCTGGCACACCTGGCCAGCCTGGCAGGCCTGGGATCCCATAGCAGCTGGAAGTGGCATCTCCAGTCACAACAGACCCCAGACTCAGGAGTAGGAGGGCAAGAACCAGATGGAGCTGTTCCCAGAAGCTCTGCTCCATTTTGGTGCCCTGGAACATGGAAAGGGAAAGAAGGTGGAGGGATGAGGAGCCACAGCAGGGTGGCTTCCAGGCTGTGGGGCAGAGGAGATGCTGTGCTGAGGGGCTGGTGGCACCAGGAGCACCTGCTGCAGTGGCAGGGCTTTCAGTGTCCCCCTCATGCCAATGGCAGTGGGGAGGTGGGTAGGTGGAGAGGGACCCTGGGCTCCTCCCCAGCCCCAGAGCTGCTGGCACAGGGGGGGATGGACCCCTGAGGTCTTGCTGCACACAGGGCCAGCCCCAAGCTCTCCTGGGCCAGTGTCCTGAAGCCCCTGCAGATGCTCACCTTGCTGCAGATGGTTGCACCATGCTGCCCTGAGCCTGGAGTTGCCTGGACCTGGCACATCTTGCCCCTCCTCCAGGAGCAGCCTGAATTTCCTGGCTCTGCCCATCAGGATCCAGGCCCCCATCCGCTGGGAGTCTCCCAGGACAGTGTCTGGTCCAGGGAACTGGATCTTCTCCCAGCAAGGACAAGGGCCTGACAACCCTTTTGGTGAAGAAATTGTTCCCAATATCCAACCTCAGCCTCCCCTGGCACAACTTGAGGACATTTCCTCTTGTCCCACCCCTTGTTCCTGGGGAGCAGAGCCCGACCCCCCTGGCTCCAACCTCCTCTCAGCAGCTGCAGAGCCAGCAGGTCTCCCCTCACCTCCTTGTCTCCAGGCTGGACACCCCCAGCTCCCTCAGCTGCTTCTCTTGAGTCTTGCTCTCTCATTTCCCTCCTCCTCCTCTCACTCAGCCCAGCCCTGTGCCTGCTGCTGGGCCCCCAGTCCCCGAGCTGCCCACCCCCAAGAGATGGGCCCTTCTGGATCCCTTACCTCTGGTGGGGGGGAGCAGGGGGTCCTGGAGCCCTCTGGCTGCTGTGTGCACAGCACGGCCTGGGTGACTCTGTGGCAGCTCCTGGAGGAAGCTGCAGAGTTAGGACAGGGGCCCCGGGGACCAGGAACCCCCAACTGGTCCCAGCCCAGTTTCACATCCTCCTGCCTGGTTGTTTCACTGGAGCCAGCCTGGCAGGGCAGCCAGAGCTGCACTTGTGCTCCTGCAGCAGCAGGGGCTGGACTCACCATCCCTGCATCTGTTCAGAAGCCAAGATGCTGAGGGACATGGTTTAGCAGTGGTCTTGGCAGTGCTGGGTTAGTGATTGGACTCAATGACCTTAAGGGTCATTTCCAACCAGAACGATTCCATGGTTCCATAATTCTAAGGTCATTGTTGCCTGGCTCTGGAGGGACTTGCTGCATCCCCAGGCAAGGGCACTGAAGGATGTTTCTCCTTGAGGGTTTCTGACCTGCAGGATGGCTGGCCACTCTGCACCCCAGCAGCTCTTGTTGGGGTGTTGGTCCTCACAGGTGACCTGGGCTCCCCTACACTGCTCCAGGAATGGAGACACTTGGTTGCTCAGCATCTGTAGAGCAGCTCCAATGAGCAGCAGTGCCAGGGTATGGCATCTGCATGGCTTCCCTGGTGCTTTCTGGCTGCCTGATACCTGCCCAACCTCCCTTCTTCCCACTAGTCTCACCCCAAGCTGAAGAGAGAAGAGCCTTGCCCCACGACCCCAGCACCATCACTCCACAACCCCCTCAGTCACCCCAACGTCCTTGCCCTTCCTTGTGGAAAGGCTGGAGGGCCTTTCCCCTTCCTGGGAGAGCTGGGATACCAAGAGAGGACCATGTTGGTGAGGTCCACTCTCTGCTGCTTAAATTTATCCTTCTACAGCACAGTTGGTTTGGGCTCCTCAGGAGAAGGGGACACAGGATTGTCCCAGAGGTTTCCTGTTCCTGCAAGTGCCAGCTCTGCTTGCACACTCAGTTCCCTCCTGCCCTTGTAGCTGGGGTCTGTGCTTGGCCAAGGGCAAATGGGGAGCTCTGCTCTCCCTGGGCAGCTTGGGAATGGGCCCAGGACACCAGTGATTTGGGTGAGACACACGAATAGGCAAGAAAAACCAAGCAGCTGTCTTGGGAGGTTTTATTGATAGTGCTGTGGGGTGGGATGCTGTGGGGCAGGGATGAGGGGCACCAGGCTTGGCTGGTGTGGCAGAGCAGGGGGTTCTCACTCGGGAATAAAGACCCACAGAGACAACTGGTCCCCTCTGGTGGGGGGTCTGAGTGCCCAGGAGCAGAAAGGGCTGCAGGGACCAGGGGTCCCCTGCCCCCAGAATGGGGTGGGAAGGCTCAGAACCGCTCCCAGGGGCTCTCAGTGTTGACCCCCCAGCCAGGGAGGGGAAGAAAAAAGACCATGGTGGCTCCATTTGGGGCCATCCCCATTCGCTGGGGCACCAAACCATCTGACAGGCTAACCAGGGAAGGAGGGGAACACGTGAAGCTGCAGCCAGGTCCCTGCTTGGTGCCCATCAGCCCGCGTGCGGGAAGAGCATGAAGCCGCTGAAGACGCTGTCGGCGTCGGAGCCGCCGTAGATGGAGCTGCCCCTGGAGGGGTCGGTGCTGAGGGACACCCTGTCCCCCAGGGCCAGGCTGAGCACACTGCTGCCCGAGTTCACCTGCAGCAGCTCCCGGCTGTTGGCGTCGCAGAAGGTGACCAGGGGCTCCTGGTTCTTGGTGATGCTCAAGCAGAGGTCCCCGCCGGACACCACCTGGTAGGAGAAGTAGTAGAGCCCGGGGACGCGGCAGGTGAACTCCCCGCTCTGGGGGCTGTAGGAGCTCTCCTGGTTGGTGATGATGTGGTCGAACACCACCGTCCTGCCCGTGGCTGGAGGGGACTTCCTCGAGGCAGAGAAGGCAGGACGGGGCTGCTCCAGGATGTTGCCGGCTTTGCCCTTCGCTCCCTTGGGTCCTGCCAGCCCCGGGACCCCCGGGGGGCCGGACGGGCCGTGGTAGCCCTGGTTGCCAGGGTTGCCTGGAGGTCCTGGCTCCCCTGCATCCCCTTTGAGTCCCCGGATGCCCGTCCTCTGGGCTGGTTTCCCTGGGGAGAGGTGGTTAAGGGAGAAGTTCGTGCCCACCTGGCACCTCCTGAGCTGCTGCCACAGCCCGAGATGCTCTTGCCAAGAGGCTTGAGGCTCCCAGACCCCCTGAGCTGGGAGCCCCCAGCTCCTGCTTACCTGGCTCTCCCCTGTCACCCTTCTGCCCTGGCCTCCCATCAAGGCCAGGGACTCCTGGGGGGCCATCCTTGCCATCTGGTGCCCGACACGTGTTGCCCTCCAGCAGGGCCGTGCCCAGCACTGCTGCCAGGGTGCTGGTCACCAGCCAAAGGCCCAGTTCCATCCCGTGTCCCTGCAAGCACAGGGGAGGGACATCAAAGCACCCAGCAAACACAGGGAGGCACCCTGGACACAGACACACCAAGTCCTGCCCATCAGCTGCACGCACAGACCTGCCACACCAGCCACGTGTTGTTGCCCCACAGAGGATGGGAAAATTCCTTCAGGGAGGAATTCTGAGGCTGTTCCCTCATGTGATCTGAAATCGTGGATGTTACTGAAAATTTCTGACATGCCCATGGCAGGATTGTGGGGCTGGAAAGCCCAGGACATGGAGCAGAGCACAAACCCTGGGGTTGGGTGGTTGCACATCAGAGGGCAGAGGATGCTGCTGCCAGTGCTGGGGGAGCAAGCACTGATGGACATGGTCCCATGGGACAGAGAGCACAAGTGAGGAAGGAAGGCAGAGAGGAGACAGAGGAGGGATGAACAGGTAAGGGAAAAACAGGCAAGAGGGATCCAGATCTCCACCAACAGAACTGGGAGAGAAGAGGGGTGTCCTGGACACACAGACCTACCCCAGAACCTGAGGGACTCAGCCCAGGGTAGCTGTAGAGCCCAGTGATGCCCACAACCATGTGGAGAAAAGCCAGATTCCTACCACCCTCTTTACACCATCCCCCAACTCCCTGCATCATCATCTCCTCCTTTTCCTGCTTTAAACCCTTGTGGAAGGGGGAAGTGAAGAAAGGAGGGGGACAGGGAGCAAGGACTGGAGAGCAGTGGGAGAGGGGACGTGTCCCCAGCTTTTTGGGGTGACTTACCTCCTTGCTGGGGCTGAAGGCAGACCCAGCTGAGCAGCAGCTCTGTTTGCTGGAAGCTCTTCCCTGGGAGGAAGAGAAGCAGGGGGGGCTGTGCTTGCGTGCACAGGGTTGGGGAACAGAAGTGCCAAAGTGCCAAGTTTCACTTTCCCTGCATGAGAGAGAAACTTGTTCCTCTTCCCACTCTGTGCTGGTCACAGTCAGGGAACAGCTTGGTCAGCAGAAATGCAAGGACCACAGGGTCCCAGCCTGGCCCAGCAGCGTGTTCCCCATGGCAGGGACTGGTGGGAGCTGGGCACAAAGCAACACAAAGGTTGGGGGGGTGCCCAGAGGCACGTCTGTCACTGCAGGAGGGGACAGGGGATGTGCCACAGCCATCCAAGGACCCAAGCCCCTCCCCAGCTTTCCCTTCAGGCACTGGAAGCTGCTCTAAGGTCTCCCTGGAGCCTTCTCTTCTCCAGGCTGAACACCCCAACTCTCCCAGCCTGGCTCCAGAGCAGAGCTGCTCCAGCCCAAGGATCATCTTCATGGCCCTTCTCTGGACTCTCTCCAACAGCTCCATGTCTCTCCTGTGCTGAGGGCACCAGAGCAGGACCCAGCTCTCCAGGTGGGGTCTCAGCAGAGCAGATCAGAGGGGCAGAATCCCCTCCTGGCCCTGCTGCCCACACTTCTTTAGATGCAGCCCAGGACACAATTGGCCTCTGGGCTCCAGCTCACACTGGTGGCTCATGTTGAGCTTCTCATCTCCTCCCACCCCCAAGTCCTTCTCCTCAGGGCTGCTCTCCAGCCATTCCACCCCAGCCTGGATTTGTGCCTGGGATTGTGCTGACCCAGGGGCAGGACCCTGCACTTGGCCTTGTTGAACTCCATGAGGTTGGCCCTGGCCCATCTTTCCAGCCTGTCCAGGTCCCTCTGGATGGTCCCTTCCCTCTTGAGTGTCAACCACCTCACACAGCTTGGGATCATCAGCAAACCTGCTGAGGAGACACTCAGTCCCACTGCCCATGTCTCCAGCAAAGCTGAACAGCCCTGGTCCCAGTACTGACCCCTGAGGGACACCACTCATCACCTGCCTCCACCTGGACACTGAGACACTGACCCCAGCTCTCTGGGTGTGGCCACCCAGCCAATTCCTGATGCACCCAGTGGTCCATCTGCCAAACCCCATGTCTCATCAGTTTGGCAACCAGGGTGTCATGTGGGATAAGATGTGACACAACGGCCCCAGCAGGTGAATGTCCCTGAGGATCAGCCAGGCCACCCTGTGGGGGATGCAGTGGGTGGCCAGGAAGGGTTTTCTGACCTGTATCCACCTGGACACTCCTTTTGGGAGCCCTGGGATAACTGAGAAAGAGGTGTCAGGGTCCCCAGAGCAAACGCAGCTGCAGCTGGAGCTCAGGGGAGGCTGTTCCAGGATGGTGTGCAGGTCTGGGATCACAGTGGTCCTGAGGCCAATGGCATCTGGCACACCCTGCCCTGCCCTGCCTGCTGCCTCCAGCCCTTCTCCAGGGAGGTTTTGCATCATTTCCAAAACAGCTGAAAAAGGGAACGACCAGTGTGAAAGCAAAACTCAGCCCAGACACCCTGGCCAGACAAAACTTCACTCCTCAGTGCATCTCCACTAAGTCATTACCTTTGGAGACCTGTCACTGAGCTGGTCTTTAATTCATGGAATATATGCCCTCTTAGTGCAACATAACACACATCTTTAATCAAAATGTCACCCCATAATGAATCAGATGCCCAGAAGAAAAGCAATTTTATTTGATCAGCAGAGTTCCTCTATCAACCCCACCTGTAATCATGTCAGGAGAAGATGACAGGTGGGTTTGAAAAGACCTACCTTCCACACAAGGGTGGTTCTGGACAGTAATTGTATTTCTGCCCTCTTGCCCTTTCTTAATATACAGCCAAAATGAGGCCTGTCCATCATTCCATCCAGGCCTGATGGATGGCATGTCCTGCTGCTCCTGTGTCCCCTCTGTCCCCTTAGCCCCATTGAAGTGATGAGTTACAGGGGGTTGTTTGCAGGTTTCCAGCACTTCCTGGGCATTGGTGTTGGTCCAGGCAGCACCTCATCCAGGATCTTGAGCTTCTTGAGCAGGATTTAGCCCCAATCTCTTGACTTGTTGCTGCCTTCAAGCCAAGCTCTCCTCTCCCATCCCCTGAGCATCTCCTCCTCCTCCTGATCTTCAATGGGGACTTGGGCAGCTCCAGAGGAATCAGAACCACTCAGGGTGGAAAAGCCCCTTGGGATCACCCAGCCCAACCACCCTCCCTGCTCTGCAAACTTCTCCCCTCAACCACATCCCCCAACACCACATCCCAACCACCCTCCAACACCCCCAGGGATGGTGACTCCACCACCTCCCTGGGCAGCCTGTGCCAGGCTCTGACCACTCTCTGGGAAGAAATTCCTCCTGATGTCCAGTCTGACCCTGCCCTGGTGCAGCTTGAAGCCCTTCCCTCTTGCTCTGTCACCTGTGAGAACAGACCAGCACCAACCTCTCTGCCATGACCCTTCAGGCAGTTGCAGGGACTGGTGAGCTCTCCCCTCAGCCTCCTCTTCCTCACACTGAACATCCCCAGCTCCTTCCAGCTGCCTGCGGGGAGCTGGGCAGGAATATTGCCCCGTGCCAACCCGGAGGCTTCTGCAGACCCCAAAAATACCCCCGGATGCCACATTTTCTCTTCTTCTCGGGAGCTGTGGCACAGGTGAGGAGCCACGAGGTGGCAGTGATGCCTCAGCCATCCCTGCTGGTCCCTGCTCCTCTTCCTCCCTCAGCAGGAGGTCACCCCAGAGCATCCCTGTGTCCCCAGGTGTCCCCGCAGCCCAGGGACACGGGCACCTCTGCCATCCCCCCCCCCCCAAAAAAAACCAACCCAGCTGCTTCCTCAAACACAGCCCCAGTGGGGGCACAAGCAGGAGCAGTTTGTGCCCCCCCTGAGAAGGGAAGTGTCCTCAGGCAGCACCCAGCTGTGGTGGGCAGGGTGGGGAAGCCTGGCAGGGGCATCCCTGCAGGTTGGGCTGTGGTCCATGGGCACCACCAGGATGGGGAAGGGGCAAGGACAGGGAAAGGGAGACCCTTCTGCCATGAAATGGGTGGAGGGGAAGAGTGGGGAGTGCTGGAGTAGCCGGAGGATGTTGGTGCTTTGCAGAGACCCAGGTGGGCACCAAAACCAGCCCCAAAGAGGACAGCCCTGGGTCTGGGGGAACCTGGCCACTCTGATGAGCACCCATATCATGTCCCAGCCTCCTGGGGCTGCTGCAGACCCAGGACCAGCCTTGCTCCTGTTGGGTTTGACCCTGAGCAGCCCTCCCCTTTTCAGGGGCACCCCCTCCCCAGTCCTTGCTGCCATCCCAAATGGTGGTGCCAGGCAAGAGGGGTGAGTGTCACCCCAGCCTTGCACCCCTTCAGGGAAATGAAGTGACCCCTGCAAAGGCTCCTCCCTGTGCCCCAGGGACACAGGAGCTGCCTGGCAGCAGCCCTGGGGAGGGATGCTCCTCTGCTGCCCTCCCTGCTGGGGTCCCCTGGGGTGCTGAGCAGTGACAGCAGCTGTCAGAGGAGGAGGCACCAGGTAACCAGCACTGACCTGTCACCGTGCAGGAGAGAGTGGCAAAATGCTCCAGGCTTGGGGCAGAGTGGCTGGGAAGTGCCAGACAGAAAAGGACCCAGGGGTGTTGGTCACAGCAGCTGAACATGAGCCAGTGTGTGCCCAGGTGGCCAAGAGGCCACCAGCATCCTGGCTGGTGTCAGCACTGGGGTGGCCAGCAGGAGCAGGGCAGGGATCATCCCCCTGTGCTGGGCACTGGGGAGGGGGCACCTCAAGTCCTGGGGTCAGTTCTGGGCCCCTCAGGACAAGAAGGACGTGGAGGGGCTGGAGAGTGTCCAGGGAAGGGCAAGGGAGCTGGGGAAGGGGCTGGAGCACAAGTGTGAGCAGGAGCAGCTGAGGGAGCTGGGGGTGTCCAGCCTGGAGACAAGGAGGTGAGGGGAGACCTGCTGGCTCTGCAGCTGCTGAGAGGAGGTTGGAGCCAGGGGGGTCGGGCTCTGCGCCCCAGGAACAAGGGATGGGACAAGAGGAAATGGGCTCATGTTGCCCAGGGGAGGTTGAGGTTGGATATTAGAATAAATTTCTCCACTGAGAGGGTCATTAAACACTGGCCCAGGCTGCCCAGGGAGGTGGTTGAATCACCATCCCTGGAGGGGTTTCAAAGCTGTGTAGATGTGGTGCTGAGGGACAT